TGTAGCGACTCATATCTAGTATTTTGTCATCAATTTTTACATGATGAATTACACTGAGAAACACGTATTTTATTGAATGATATCTGACGTTTTATTGTAGGTAATTTGGATGCGCTGAATAAAAATTTCAAATTTTGGTTCTATCAGGCCCTGAGTTTTGTCAAAAGCCAATGTGTCATTTTTCCAAATTTTTCAAATAAGGACTAAAAAAATTAAGTCATACGTTAAATTCTTTCAAGTTTCATGAATACAAGCAGTTCAAACTACAGTGATTGAATTGGCTGATTAAGTCCGGAGTCGCTTTTATATACAGGGTGTCCATAAAGTTTGTGTTCACTTTAAAAATTTATAACTTTATTTGTATTTGCGATAGAAATAATTTGTAAAAAGGATTAGAAAGAAGTAAATCTATATTCTTTTAAGGTTTTATTGAAATTTTATTTAAGTTTCCACATGTCCTCCATCATTAGCAATCCAAAGGGTAATACTATTTTGCAGTTCATGGAAAACATTTGCCAACTGATTTACAATAATGCCTGAAATCACATTAGTTATTTTAGCTATACTTAAAACTAGGTACATTAAACAATATAACATTTTTTACAGATTATTTCTATCGCAATTACAAATAAAGTTATAAATTTTTTAAAGTACACACAAAGTTTATGGACACCCTGTATATTAGTTGTCCCTCTTCAGTCTTTTACAGAAAACAGGAGCGCTTGAGAAAACTCTAAATTCTTTATAACATTTTTAGCTTAATTTACTAATGATAAAATGGGTTAAAAATGGTAAAATTAAAAATATTTTTAGTATTTTTATTTACATAAAAGTATACATAATATAAGAATATTATAACAATAGGTATAAATATCTCGATAAAAACCTAGTTGCATAATGTGTAACTGAAAAAGTCTTAGCGAGTATTGAGGAAAAACATTTTTATGAATACGACGAAAGAAGAGGGGTGTCGAGCAAAATCGAGACCTGACATAGAAAAACCGAATAAAATTTCATACTCAGCACATTCAAATTACATAGACCTAACCGTCAAATCTAATTCAATAAACAAAAAATTGAAATTTGTTACCCAGTATTATTATTGATTTGATTTCATTCGTTTTCTGTAATAATTTATTATTATTAGAGTTTTTCTTAATGTGCTGCCTTGTTAATTTATGTAGTAGAGACTACTCAACCGTAACTGGTGTACTTGATCTTTGCTGTTATCACGAACTTTGCTTCAAAAAATGTACTAGATTATTTTTTTTTTAAATATTCAAAGTATTTCTCTTCTTCACCTTCTGTAGTTTTCTCTCGAGAATTTTAATTGCAAAAAGGCATGTTTCATTTTCATTGATAATTTACATGAATGTTACTGGCACTCATTTAGCACACAGATCACTTAATTTGTGTAATTCTTATCTTTGTCTGTGGGTATCTCCATTGTTTCCTAGTTTCTGACATCCTGATATAATATGATCGTTATTATTATTATTATTATTATTATTATTATTATTATTATTATTATTATTATTATTTCCCTTGATTTCTGGTGTGTACTAATTTCTTTCCGGATCTCGACCAGAGACCTAAGGTCAGAAATGACATCATAACATTTTCCACTGAGCAATTAAAAAATGAAATAAAACACATATTTTACATAAAGCCCTTCGTAAGGTGTGGGCTGTACTCGTGAGAACATTTTTTGTATTTCTTTAAGGCATGCTACCAGGAATCCCTTCAATGAGTCTATTGGAATCTTTTCCAATCAATCGAAAGGTTCCAACTAAAACAGGAATTGTTGATGTACGTTTATCCTATCGTTTTGTTTTCTGTGCCTTTAACTGCAGTTATTATTATTATCATTATTGTTTTTATTTCCTTTGATTTCTGGCGTGTACACATTTCTTTCTGGGTCTCGCCAAGAGACCAAAGGTTAGAAATGCCATCATGACACGTTCTACTGACAAAAAAAAAAAATTACATAGATAAAGCCCTTCGTTAAGTGTGGGCTGTACTTGTGAGTACAATTTTTTGTATTTCTTTGAGGCATGGGCCTCCAGGAATCCCTTTCAATTAGTCTACTGGAATCTTTTCCAAACAATCCTACGGCTCCAACTACAACACGGATTGTTGATGTTCCCATGTGCCACATTTTTGATTTGGATTTAATTATTATTATTATTATTATTATTATTATTATTATTATTTCCTTTGATTTCTGGCGTTTACACATTTCTTTCCGGGTCCCGCCCAGGACCTAACGTTAGAAATGGCATCATGATACTTTCCATTGACAAAAAAAAAACAAAAAAACAAAAAAAATACATAGATAAAGTCCTTCATAAAGTGTGGACTACTTGTCAGAACAATATTTTTTTTGTATCTCTTTGAGGCATGGACTTCCAGGAATCCTTTCAATTAGTCTACTGGAATCTTTTCCAACCAATCCTACGGCTCCAACTACAACAGTGATTGTTGATGTTCCCATGGGCCACATTTTTGAGATTTCTATTTCAAGGTCGTTGTATTTTGACAGCTTTTTGAATATCTCCAAAGATACATTGCAGTCTGCAGGGACTGCCATATCAATATGGAGGCAGTTTTTTTGTTTGTGGTCTTTGATTGTTCTGACAGTGTGTATTGTGTAGTCCCATAGAATTGTAACAGGTCTCATCTCCGTAACCGGGTCTGGGTGGTGTTCATACCAGTTTTTTTCAGTTACATGCCCGTAGAAGTTGCAAATTTTCCAGTGCAGATATTGGCCCACTCTGTCATACCGGGTTTTATATTCAGTGGATGCCAACACTGTGCAACCTGATACAAGATGATCAATTGTTTCTGGATATTTATCACAGAATCTGCATTTTGAACTAACACAATATTTTAGTATATGTTCTCGCTAATTCCTAGTTAACAAGCATTGGTCCTGTGCAGCAAGTATAAAACCTTCAGTTTCAGCTTTCAACCCTGCACTACGTAGCCACTGATGGGTACGGGTTTTGTCTACCTTACCATTATTATTATTATTATTATTATTATTATTTTCTTTGATCTGTTGTACACTCATCTACTTCCGGGTCACATAACCTCAGATCACAAACGTTTTACATAAAAAAAGCCCTTCGTAAGCGGTGAGCTGTAGTTGAGAGAACTTTTTTTAAATTTTTTAACACATGATCTACCAGGAATCCCTCCAATGAGTCTGTCATAGCATTTTCCAATGAAATTTAGGGCCCCAATATTAATAATAATAATAAATATTCTTCGTTTTTGTTTACCAACCTGGTGCTTCATTATCTTTCTTTTGACATGTCCATATTTTATTCCAGAAGTTATTTGCGTCTGTAGTTTCTGGTTTTATATTTTCTCTTCTTTCTCTTTTTGTCTTGCTAAGATTTTCTTTCATTCTTTTGGTAATGGCTGTTTTGGATATATTCGCCTTTCTTTAGGTATTTTTTATACTTTCTTTCACTACCGCTAGCATGCGTTCGTATCGTGTGCGTTCCATATTCTGTTCTGTAGTCCGTTCTTGCTACATATACATTTCAGTCGCAGTTTGTCTCTTTGTAGAGCTGTCCTTCTAATCTGATTTCCGAACCCAGTTCTTGGCTCCAGCGATTCGAGCTTAGTTTTTTACAAGAATTTCAATCCCCATTTTTTTCCCCAGCATATACGAGTTTCTTGAATTCCGTTATATCGTTAGTAACAGTCTGTTAATGCGTTCACTTGCCGCTTTTACTTCCTCCCACCAATCGTTCCCCTTAAGGAATGCTAGGGGACTCTTGTTTTCCGACATTGACATCTTTAGTATTGGTACTTCGTCATTTTTCAATGTCACTTCGGATAGTTTTGTCTTCCTCTTACCTCATATTTGTTTCTTTGCGTTTTTTTTTTTTTTTTTTTTTACATTCTTTAACAAGGTTTCTGGTTCTAATGTTTCTCAGTTGTCAAGTCTCGTTCTTCATCGTCGTTTCTCGCGGATTTCCGGCAACTTGAAATCCAATATCCACACATGGTTATATATCACCATATTGTACAGGGAAAACGAAAACATTTATACGATTCTCCAATAAAAGTTAAAATCTACAGAGTCTTGCAAAAGTCACATAACAATTGACAGAAAACATACACTTGTGAAATAGCGATCAGGTAAAATTTGCATGATATCATCTCCCATAATACGACCAGTAAAATTTCTTAATAATTGTCACATACAGAAACATGATTCCATTTGGTAAATAAATATAAAATTTACAAGGTTTCAATGGCAATGCGACTTAGTATTAATCATAGGTTTATAAAAGTCCGGTATTAATTGTAGATTTCTTCTATATAGTAGGTAAGCATTAATAATACAGGGTGACCCCAAAAACGGGAATTTTTGAAGTGCGTATTGCCAGACATGAGCAAGTGGCAACACTGCGAGACAGTAACCTTGAGCAAGTAAACATTTCGCCATTTAAAATTCAAGATGAAATTCACAGTATCCCAGCTGAGATGTTGCAGCAGTCAATGAGGAATCTCAACAGCAGATTTCAAGAATGCATTCGTACAGGAGGACGCCATCTACAGGACGTAATTTTTAAAAAATGATAATTTCATCATTGTTTCTTAAATGGCATGTTTTAAGGTGTCAATTAATATGAATAAAATATTTTTCTTCCATCACTCTTGGTTTTATTGGATTGTTAAAAAGTTCCCGTTTTTTGGGGTCACCCTATACCTACTTACTATGTATTGTCTTTTTTATTGATTAATTATTACGTCTTATCATCCCTTTGCAGGTTATTTAAAACTAGAATATATTTTCAGATTGTAAGAATTTTTTGAGACAATAATGATTTAGTGATATAAGTCTTCCTAATTAACCCATAGCTCGAGGGAAAAGAGGTGGATTCATACCTTTTGAATATAACGACCCCAACGGAAATTGTAACTCGGCTCTCCGATTAAAAGTTCCGAGCCATTATCCATTGCACCACGCACACACCAAGGCTTACAGCACATGGTATTCCGAAGCGGTCACTCATCCAGATACTAACTAGGCCCGACTTTGCTTAACTTCGGTGGTTGTAGGGAAACCGGTGTTTCAATGGGATATTGCAGTAAGCCCCTACTATGTAGAAACCTAACATACCCCAAATGCTTGCCATGCCCAAAATGGAATGGTGGATATTAATGGGCTAATAAAGGGTGTTTCATTAAGACGGATTATATATTAGGGTGTTTCATTAAGACGGAACAAAATCAGCAGTAAATAAATCAGTGTTATTGGTGAAAATTTATTTATTTTTCTATTGGATCATGTTAAGTCATGGCAATTATGCGTGAAAAATAATATTGCCCAAATGTTTGTCAAATTTGAAAGAAAAAGAAAAAAATGATTAGACACTTAAACTTAATTAAAATCGGTCCAAGTTATCGAAACACCCTTTATAAGTTCTATGGTGTATTTTATCTATTTCTTCTCTTATTATGAATTTTGGCTCATCTCTCTGTCGTTTCCGCTTTCAACAAGGAATTCATTTTACATGGCATTTTTTGATTAATTATTTTAATGTTTTTTTTTTAATGGAAATGGATAAAAAAATAAAAATCTTCTTTGAATTTTGTTTTCAGGACCGTAAGACAAAGTATAATATTCTAGAGTATCTACTGACAGTTTTAATCCGGTTTCCGTATAATTACCGAAATTAGGCAACGTCGGGTCTAGTCAGTACCTACATTGGTAACCGCCAGGTGCTGTTAGCTTGGATGTGCGGGTGGTGTAATGGATAATGGCTCGGTTGATAAGCCGCAGAAAACGAATTAATCAATCTCTTAAAACGAATAGAAATACTACTTAAGTTAAAATTGTCATAAGTTATTCTAGAATGTTCTATTTTGTATCATGCCTCTGAAAACAAAAAAAAAATATTTTTAACCTATTTCCATTAATATGGACATAACTAGTATTCTCTAAGTGCCAATGCAAAGTTAAACACTAGTTTTATTGTCTTTGCTTACATATTTACACTATAAATTCAGTAAATATACATTAATAGAAAGAGGTGTAAGACAAGGATGTGTCCTCTTACCGGACTTATTCAAGCTATACAGTGAGGCGATTCTGAGAGAATGAGAAGTTCTACAAGTAATCATTATTGTCGGCCACAGTATTAACAATAAAAGATACAGAAAGGACACTACAAGAACTCTTACAGATGGTAATGAAAGAAAGCGATAAGAAAGGGCAAAACACCAATTCCAAAATGACAGAATGCATGGATGTCAGCAGAAAGAACAGATCAACAAGCAAATTACAAATTGGAGATACAAAAATCAAGCAAGTAAAACAATTTTAAAATATTTGGAAAGTATTTTAACCGAGGATGGAAATTGCGAAACCGAAATCCGAAAGCGCATTGGGATATCGAAAGATGCCTTCCAAAATATAAGCCAAGTATTAAGAAACGAGGAAAATATCGTTAGAAACAAAGAAAAGAGTACTGCACTGTTGCATAATATCAGTTCTATTATATAGCCGTGAATGCTGGATAACCTCTTAACATATAAAGAAACTTCTACAGAAGGATACTGAAAATACTATGGACTGGATATGTGAGAAACGACGAAGATTTAGAGAAAACGGAAACAAAAAGGACATATATACTTAATATCAGAAAGAGACAGTTGAAATTTTATAGAGCACATAATGAAGCAAGAGGGCTCGAAAATTTTGACACGCACAAGGACATATTGAAGGTGAAAGGGACAGAGAAAAACAGCAGATAATCTAATGAGCTTGTGTAAATGAATGGCGAAACAGTATTTAGGAGGGATAACAAAAAGACAATATTTACTAAGAGCTACAAAGTACATGAAATTGCGGAGAGCCATGATCACCAACTTCCTAAAGAAGTCCTACGACACATAGAAAAAGAAGATCTGGATTGGTCACTTAAGGACAAGGAATTTGAGACATTGTGGGTTTACTCGAATCTGATTCAAGGGCAATTTAGAGAATACACATAAAGTCCCCCCCCACTAAAAAAATTATATATTTATCTTATTCATTTAAATTATTTACAGTCGAACGAATGTCCTTATCTTTGTTATTCGATCATAATGTTTCAACCTTTGTCGACTGGCACTCCATCTGGTTAACCATAGAATTTCGGATTGGACTGAACCCTTTATTCAATCTACGGAGGCAGATTATTCTCATCCTGATGTCCGCCCCTAAGCATATTTTCTTTTGCTTAGTTGTCTTTCTAGTATTATTCAGTTATTTACTCGTCCTGTTTCTAATGAATCTAACTATATCCGTATTACCCGATTCGGGGATCGAACTCACAATTAATATGCAATTCTAATTCACTAACCAGCACTTTAATTTTTTGTCTATTATCCATAGTGGATAAATATATGTAATTCATGCTGAAAATAAGTCAAAAGAAACGAAAAGAGATAATTAGTTCAGTTCTTAATGATCTTCCATGCATGATAATCAGATAACGATTATAAAAACATGGTAATTAGACCGTAACATGAAAGATGAGGGCATTAAAATATCTAAATAATGATATCTCCTCATCCGAGAAATTCATTTAATCTTACTGTATTTTTCACATTAAATTAACATTATGGTTGATATTAGGGTCTGTATTAGAGCAGAAAATGTCTATAACTCATGTTTTTGTTCATATACTCTCATGAAACGACTTAGTTATAAAATATACGAGGTCTGAGCAAAAAGTATCGGGACTGTTGTTATGGTAAGGGAGCTAACTTCACTACACCATAGTCGTTGCATCCGTGACCATGGCATGTGCAACAGTTTGGGGACAAGAATAGCATTTTCTTGGTCCGACAATCACCATATTCCTTAGATCTCTCCTCTTTCGACTTTTTCCTCTTCAAAGAGTAAATACCACTTGAAATGGACAAAATTTCAAGACGTCGTAAATCCAAACATATGTGACAAGGCAGGTGCACGCTATACAAAAAAAAATCCAGTAATGCTTCCATCAATGAAAACGACACTGTATGTGGTTTCAGAAGGGAACTACTTCGAAGTAGATTAAATGCCAAATTGATATGTACTGTAGTTTTTTTAATACCAATCCTGATACTTTTTGATCAAATCTTGTATATGAGAACGATGATTGAGGTGATACAGTAAGTGTACGAAAAAGGTATTGGACTTGTTTTCAACGTAAAACTTTCTGGTCAAGCAATAAGACGAGAATATTATGAAAAGTCAGTGGAAGTGTCATGACTCGATCCCCTTAATGTTAGCATTACACACTACTTCAAATAAAAGGTCAGGAAGGAAATCTCCATCAATACTGAAAAGAGCTATAAAAGCTACTGGACTTGTAAAAACAATTTCCCTGAAAATTTGGTTTAGGAGTAAGATTTGGTAAACTGCAACCGAAAGCAGTAGTGGATGCTCGGTTAATGAATGCCAAATGTTTCCTTGTTAGGAAAAGGCTAATACTACCATTACCATTCAAAATCTCAGAAGATATATTCTAAATTATGTTTTCCGAGATGTGTGTTAGAGAAATTATAAAGCAATGTACTTCCTTGTTGTTCGCTGACGTTCGACAGATTTCCGAGTCTAGAATTTGGATGATTTTACTAAATATCGCATGACAAGTTACTTCATTGGGGTTGGAATGCTTTGTTCATATTAGATGTATCCTTTTTTTTCCCCCTTTTTTTTTTTGACCCACCCACATTCCCTTCGTATTCCATTGTTGAGTAGCTTCTTCTCGTGAACCACTGCTTTGTCGAAGCGACTCCCAAGAGGATGTTTTCCCGATCACTACAATCTTAACCTGTTCAAGTCTAGGGATAACCGTTATCTTCCCCACATATCCGCATGTACCGTGCCCCTTACTCTGTAACCATCGATTCTGTGTGACTCCCTTCCTTATACAGAGTGAACATCACTGTAAAAAAAAAAAAATTTTAAAGTAAAGAGAAATACGTTTTGTTCTTGAATCCGTCAGAGTGTCAGGCGGTAATTAGAAAGAATCCCCAAATTTAGTTATTAACTCTTATCGTTCGCGTGCGTTACACATAATACGTTCTTAATTTAATGAAGTGCCAGTCAGTAATAAAGAGATGATGACAATGTTTAGTTATCTCTAATCGTCTAGAAGTGAACAATGTTATAAAGGCTTTAAATAAACGGAAAGGTGCTACCTTCTTGAAACCCTCCTCAGTCAGACAATGTTGAAATATGTTCACACTGACAATTCAAAATACAAATCGTCTCAAGATAATTAGTTGATAGTCTTTCATGGTATTTCTTCAAACAGTGCATTTAATCCAAGTAACATAAGACAGGTTATAGTAGGTTACACGATACTAGCAGCCGTGAATAATATCCTACTTTAAATCTCTCTGAAACGGGAACACAATCTGAATTCGAACTCTGTTCTCCGATTCCGTTTACTGAGATGTTAGCCGTTAGGTCCTCTCTTAATAAAAATGGATTTTTGAAAAATCTTGAAATTTTTTTGCAACACGCTGACGCGTATTAAAATCTCCACAGTATTTCGTATTTTTAAAGTTATCATTAACATTTTTTGTCGCGATTTACAAACTTTACGTTTCGTTCAATTTCGCAAACCAATCGATGAAATTTCAATAAGCTGATTTATTTGAAAAAAAAATACTTTGACAAAACTCTACTTCGCGATTTAATAATTTCTTTAAATTAATTTAATAGGACTTCATGGTAAAAAATATTTTTTAAGAATTTTTTTTTTCCTTTTTAAGAGCGAAGAATAAATTCTTATGATTTCTTACTCTTGAGCATACGGCACACAACTGGCTATTCGTAAATATTTCTTTCTGGAACCAAATTTCAAATTTTTGAAGCGTTTGACTTTGTGATTTGTTTATAGTACTCCCAAACGCAGGGCGAACTGGATACTGGATTCTTGTCTATATAAAAACTTAAAGAAAAGATATGCAAAAAATAATATTGTATTTATATTAAATAAGTATTTATTTTAATCGTTAAACTGTTTTTAAAATTGTGTGAGTATTTTGTATGTTAAATTATAAAACTTTTAATTTTTCCAAAACAATTAATTAAAATGTATTGTACTAAGCTACGCACCCTAGTAAAACCAACTGTACTTTGTACCCCCTCTGATCAGAAGCTTTTGAGGAGCGTGGAACTACCTATTAATAGCTCGTGTTCCCAGGTCCACCCCGACCCGGAGTGGTAGCACCTGTTAGAGTCCCAGCTATGGGCTAATAGTTAACACTCAAACTTGTGTAAAAATCGGTTTTAATACCAGAAATACTTTGTAATAAAAAGAAATATTACCAGCAATAATTTTTGAAGGAAAAATTATTATCAGCAATACTTAAAAAAAAACTAACATCAATGCAAACAGCTACACATTCTTTGAAAAAAATATGACCAGCTATAGATTTCTTCAAGGAAAAATATTCCCAGAAATAGATTTTTCAACAAAAACATATTACCAGCAATAAAAAATTTTGTCGGGATTAAATAACCGATTGAGGTTCATATGCCGTAAAATAAAACAAACCAAACTAAAATCTGGTTTTGATCGGTCAATGTATGGCTATTTTAGAGGGTGCAACGGACGGACTAACGGAAGTCACAGAATTTTATATATATAGATATCAATGCTCTTGTAATATCATCTAGTATTTCACTATAAACGGTGCCCCACCACTGCCTCCTTCTTTCGGCTTTGTTACTCTTATTAATCACTAAAAGGAAGGGTGACATTTACAGTCGCACATGTGAAGTATTCTTGCCGTTTGGAAAGTATATTGATTGCCTTATCCTTGATACAAAAACGTGTACTTACCATCAAAAACCTACATATATATTTAAGATTATCAAGTCCAACATATTTATCAGTATAGGTATTCTAATATTACAGTATATAAAAATGAATGTCATTGTTATATACTTTTAGTTCAGAGGATTTACGACCATATCACAATGAAACAGCGGTTCTCGTACGATCACCGAAGTTAAGCAACGTCCAGGCTAGTTCGTATCTAGACGGGCGACCCCTTGGAAATACCAGCTGCTATAAGCTTGGATGTGCGGGTGGTGTAATGGATAATGCTTCAGAATTGGAAATCGGATAGCCGAGTTCCAATTCCAGTTAGATTCGGTCTATTCACTTACGCGCAAATACCCTTGAGAAAGGTGTGAATCCACCTCTTTTCTCCCCCACTAGATATGCTTTAATTTGTAGTATTTGTATCGCTAAAGGATTATTATCTCAAAAAAAAATTCTGACAATCTAAAAATAATTCCTGGTTTTAAATAACCTACGAGAGGTTGATAAACCGTAAAAACAAATCAATCAACTTACTTAAAGGCTTCTCTCGTGCCCACTACTAAATTCGACTATCGCTTTACTATATTATTAGCGTTTTCGTTTTTAACTTGAGATCTTGCATTATGGGTGTTTTCATCAAGTCATACAACCTCAGACGGAGAGTATCTTTCGCAAAAAAATTGCGATGCTAAGCAACGCAGACATCTGAAGCAATGGAATACTAGGCTTATAGGCTTTATTCTGTTTATTACTCTTTCTTTGGTCAAATGCCAGTATAAATCTAGACACATTTCTTTCTTAAAGAAAAGTGGTGATATTTACAGTCGCACATGAAGAGGATTATTTTTGTAACTGGTTGCCTTATCTTTGATACAAACACGTGTAATTACCATCACAGACCCACATATATTTAGTATTAGAAAGTTCTACATATTTATCAGCATAGGCATTGTAATATTAGAGTATATAAAATTATTGCCGTTTACACATAACTGTACTTCAAAACTTACATAATACGAACATCTAAATAAAGCGATTATCGTATGACAGTTGTGCTTGGTGCCTTCCATCGTTAGTTCGAACGACCATTGTGTCCTGCTAATACCTAATAAATAATGGACTATTCCGTTTTGATCGTGTGGAAAGAGGGGAAAAGACACTGATTGGTTTCAGTGTGAAAATGAAAGGAAGAAAGAAGGGAAGATAGAAGTTTTTAACGTCTCCTGTCAGTACCTCATAAGTAATGGACTATTCCGTTTTGATCGCGTGTAAAATGATGAAAAGACACTTCTTGGTTTTAGTGATAATATGAAAGACAAGGGGAAGATAGAAGTGTTTAAAGTTTCCTGTCGATACCTCATAAATAATAGATTATTCCGTTTTCATTGGATGGAGAGAAGGGAAAAGACAGTACTTGGTTTCAGTGTGAAAATGAAGTGAAGATAGAAGTGTTTAACGGCTCCTGCCTATACCCGATAAATAATCGACTATTCCGTTTTGATCGCGTGAAAAGAGAGGAAAGGACAATACAATGAGAAAATGAAAGAAATAAACATGGGAAAGAAAGAAAGAAAGAAAGAAAGAAAGAAAGAAAGAAAGAAAGAAAGGAAGGAAGAAAGAAAGAAAGAAAGAAAGAAAGAAAGAAAGAAAGAAAGAAAGAAAGAAAGAAAGAAAGAAAGGAAGGAAGAAAGAAAGAAAGAAAGAAAGAAAGAAAGAAAGTGTTTAACGCCTGTTTCAGTGATATGGAGAAAGTTGTTAATATCATATCTTTTCATTTGTACCCCCATACTTCTTAAAATAACGACCAGTATTCATATTTAGGATTGTTATAATATTTTTTAGAGTTGTCAATCCCAAATATGTAACGGTGCGGAGAATTAAGATTAACCAGAAAATTAAAATAGGAAAACCATGAGATTTTCACGGGTTAAAACTAGTAATATTTTAATTTTCAACTGGAGACCTTGTATTATGGATGTTCTCCATCAAGTCTTGCGACAGAGAGCACCTTTCGCAGAATATTTGCGGTGCCAAGCAGCATAGACTTCTTAAGTGATGGGATATTAGACATTATTCTTATTTTTTAGGATGCTGAACTTGGTGAATAATAATATTAATATTAATAATAATAATAATTTTTTTTTTTATAGAAAATATTTTTGTTTTAATATAGACCTTTACTTTAATGTTTACTTCATATAAATATTCAAAGATTATCTTTTACCATATTATTATTATTATTATTGATTTCTGGCCTTTTACACGTTTCTTTCCAGGTCCTGCCCAGGGACCTAAGGTTAGAAATGGCATCATGGCACTTTCCACTGACAAAACAAAAATTACATAGATAAAGCCCTTCGTAAAGTGTGGGCTGTACTTTTGGATTATTATTATTATCCCAGCTATGGATAATAGCAGGACAGACTGGGTTCTATAGCCTTGGGTAGCTACCGTTCAAACAGAAACAACTCTAAATTCAAAACCTTCAACTATTTATAAATAGTACGGCAGTGTGAACCCTGTAGCCATGGTTAGCAACCAGAGTTGGAAAAGGACAAATCCCTGAGAAAGTCTGATGTCATGTTCAATTTCGTTCTGGCAACTCCGACGACGACGCTGGTGCCAAGCTGTGATGTCTTCTGCAGTGTGGAGACGTTCTGCATGGGCAACTGCCGATCTCATTAAAACAGACTCTGCCCAGGTCTGCGATAACTCTTCTGGATGTCATTATTTAGTATTATTATGATTATCAATGAGAGTATAGCAAGGCACTACTTAAATTAACTGGTCCGCTCGTTAAAGAAAGAGGACAAATTGGGGTGGGGGTAAATCAATTTTACAAGTGAGCCTTATGTTAGCCTTATGTCAGAATCCAAAGATACTTTTTTTTTATTATTTTAGAAGTGGGATCATGTTCATAATAAACAGTGTCAAATCGATCCCTGGGCCCTAAAAGAGTTGTCTGCACTTTGTTTTCATTAAAATGTCAAGTCTGAAATTCTGCGTAAGTCATTGGTACTATTGCGAATTGGAGAAAAAAACATCAGTAACACGAAGTCATTAATGACGTAAGCACAGTTTCAAACTTGACATTCATAAATAACTTGCTCACATATTCCGTCCATTGTGCTTTCAGTATCCTTCTGCCTCGAATTTCCTTCTGCGAAGAAATCGTTCATCTTTCGATGTCATATAGAGGAATTGATATTACATAGCAGCTGTGCTATTTATCCTCAGAAAGATATTGGGGAAGTAGATGGAGGAAAAAACGATATCATCCGCTCAAAATTATTAAGAGACGGAAACAAAGATGACCACAAAGTTCAAAAAAGCCTCTTCCTACCCATCGCCACTCATTTGAATTACGCACGCATGAGACGCTGAGCTTACATCCGGGTTTTGTCATTAATAAAATGACGTCAAAAAAGTATTAACTTATCTCTATGCTAGAAACTTTGACAAAAAGTCATATCAAAGTGTGAATACATGTTCTTAACCTTTTCCAAAATACACAGTAAGCGGAAAGGAGACAATTAACAGAATTTGGCTTTCTTTCATTTTTCTTTATATTTTCTTTCTTTCTGCTTCTGTTTTCAATGTTTTTTTCCATCTTTTTCTTTTTATATTTTATTCTTCTTAATTTCTTTGTTTCTTTTTCGTTGTTGTTTGTTTCTTTGTTTTTTCTTTTCTTTCCTTCCTTCCACCAAATTATCTTTACTCTGTTTTTTTCTATCTTTCTACAACTTTATCTTTTTTCTTCTAGCATCATATATTTTCTTTCTTTTTTCCACCAATTTAATTTTCTTTCTTTCTTTCTTTCTTTTTCTTTCTTTCTTTCTTTCTTTCTTTCTACCAATTTAGTTTTACTCTTTTTCTTTCTTTCTTTTCTTTTTCTTCCTTTCTAACATTTTATCATTTTTCTTTTAGGTTTTATCGTTTTCTTTCCCTCAATTTAATTTTCCACGCTTTTTTTCTTTCTTTCTTTCTTCCTTCCTTTCTTTCTTTCTTTCTTTCTTTCTTTCTTTCTTTCTTTCTTTCTTTCCACCAATCTAATTATACTTTTTTCTTTCTTTACTTCTTTCTTTCTTTCTAACATTTTATCATTTTTTTCTTTTTGACTTTTGTTGTTTTCTTTTCACCAATTTAATTTTCCTCACGTCTTTCTTTCTTTCTTTCTTTCTTTCTTTCTTTCTTTCTACCAATTTACCTTCGCTCTTTCGTTTTTCTACCATTTTTCATTTTCCTTTCTTTTAGCATTTTATTTTTCTTTCTTTCTTTTTTGCTTTCTACAAAATAAATTTTACTTTTTTGTTTTTCTTTCTTTACACCAAGTAATTATGTTTTTGTTTTTATTTTCATTATTTTGCCTGAAACCATTTTTTGATTAATCTTCTTTTCTTCCTTTTCTTTTATATTAATTCTCATAGAAAAACGAATTATTCTTCTGTTTTACTTTCACTACCTTTTACTTCTTTCTCATTTATTTACTCCCTACTTCCGGTTCTTATCAGGTTTGATCAAGAGTTACTTCCGGTTGACCCTCTCATGTCCATATTTTACATTACAAAAATTTAACAAAAAATGAAAACAAAAAATCTAACATTTAAAGAAAAATGACTAATATTTTTCAGCGAAACAAAAATAATATCCCAATTTTGGTCTAGATTATCTCCCCTTATACGTATTCTATATTTAAGTAAACCCATTAGGACATATTTCATTCTTAGTTGAATAAAGCAGTTACACCTGCGTTCGTTTTCATACTACAATATTTATCATTTTTTTTTCAGTTATCGGCAAAAGAAAGAATGTAATAACTCATTCAAGTAAATACAATCTGTATATACAGGACTTAAATACATTTGAATTTCTTTTGTGCCTAAAGACAACAAAACTAACTAAATAATTGGTTGTGTTCCTTTATGATTTTCCCGTCATTGTCTGTCGGCTTCTTATTAACTATTTAGTTGATTCGAAGTAATCGCCTCTTTTCTGCTATTTGTTTTTCGTCGATGTACCATCCTTCCTCCGGTATCTGTTTGGTTTTGGGATTTCGACGACATTCTAGAACACAACAGACACCTGGAGAACAGATGGCATACGAATGAAATACAGTGCGAGAAAGACCGACAAAAATGAAGAGAAAATTAGTCTGAACCAAACTTATACAATGACTCAAAATACATCCTCTGACAAAATTCCGACAATATACGACTTGTCAATGCATTATGCAGGTGATTTAATGGT